ATTCTGCCTCAGTTCTAGTAACGGTGACGTATGCAAGCCTCAGTCGTCTACATTCTCGCTTCTCGGCGTGTGGGACCACAGCCTAAATAGGAACATTCATTCTCAATCATTGATTCCACATAAGACAGAAAACTATTAGAGGTATTATCGTGATTTATTGTAACAGCATTTATTCTTAGACCTTGTGTATAATAACCTTATTGTTGGTTACATATTGGCGTAAGAATAAAGGATTCTTGAGTCGCCAATCTGTGTTCTGGTTTTTTGCGTTGATTATTACAAATTGTTTCTGAAAGCCTTCCAGGGACAGCGTGAGGCTCAGCGTGGTAAGAGCTGGACATTGACAGCTTCTGAGAGTTTGCTGACAACTGCCTTCGCTCTATACCGAAGATCAGATGGACGGGCCGGAAGGAATCAGCAACAAGAAACTGTGGGAACAAACAAAAGAAGAACTGATCGTCCAACAAATACGCAGAAGAAAGTAGAGATGGATGGGAGGTACACTGAGGAGGCATCTGAGTGACGTCGCGCGTCGGGCTTTCGAGAGGAAGCCGAAAGTGAAGCGGCGAGTGGGACGTCCAAGTGTGGCATGGAGGAGATCGCGTGAAGAGGAGTCTAAACAGTATGGACTAACATGAATGCAGGTGAAAAGTACAGCAGAAGACAGAAGCAAGAGGAGACGTGCAGTTGCACCCCTATGTTCCACTAGCTACCCAAGGGAACAATAGTAGTACAATAATAATAGGCTGTTCATTGGTTGACCGTAACTGTCATCAAGAAACGGAACCAAGTTTGGGTTGGCTCTCAGCCTTGACGGTGACCTTATTGAAGAGCTTACAATTTAACAATTATACAAACCTGCTCTGATTGCTTGTACTAAAATTAAATCCTTTAGACTTTTAAACAGTTCTAATTTACGATAGTTCACGATTGTAATTTATAACATAACTGACCCTACCTGTAAAATGGCATGCATTTCATGTAAACTTACATGTTTACAAAATATAGATTTCAACTTCATTGTTGATTTACATAAAGTTAATTATGCAGCACATTGATTGGTTTTGAATGTGCAAGCTTTACCCAGAAATGGTATTTTGGATATTTTTGGAAAACGCAACACGAAATCTAGCCTCTTCTCAAAGTCTTCAGAATTTTGAAACCGCCCTTAAAATTTCCCGCGTTTGATTGCAGTAAAATCCACGACGTAGTTTAACCTGAGCTTCAATACCTTCTTTCGGAAGTGATACGTTTAACTACACAGCTTGATTCAACTTTGTAAGTACAAAACAAATTTGTTGAAGCAACAGTTATCAATAAGGGATTTATCTCAGGTGACAAATGAGAGGATAGCGATTTATCTTTTCTCCTCAAAGTTATCAGAAATCAGTTTCATGTTGATTTGCCATTAGTGAGGATTATTTATTATTATCTAAAGTAACACTATTTACTCAGCCACGACTACAATCTCGTAGTCATCACTCAACATCCAAATCCTGGGGATAACTCCCCTCTTTGAAACAAGTATCTTCTTAAATCAGGTAATGTGAAAATTCCAGTAGATACAAACGAGGTCCAGACAAGCACATTAACCTGCCTCCTTCCCAACAGTTGGCATGGTAGAAAGCAAGCTAGTCCAGTCCGTTCTTAAAGCAAATGAACTAGCAAATATTGTAAACCACACGACGCAATACAGCACCTACATCTAACATTTCGCCTAATAATTCCAGTGACAGAACTACCTTAGAAGACTAGATGGGTGAAGTGCTTGAGTGACTTCAATCTCGTTTCTCCGTTGTCTTCGACTAAAAATAATAACCGTTGTTGTTCTGTGACCATTCATGCTACCTAACATGCACTTTGGCAACGCTAATGACTGACACGTTTCCCAAAACACGTGACCAGATAGCTGTTAACGGCGGATAATTAGAGGAGAAAATTATCTAAGTTTTGTCCACTCTTATCTATCCACGACTTAAGATTTTAATCTCCTAAACTGTGTCAACAGTCTCTTCTTTTGTGCGTATGGATTTATACGGACTATATTGCCAAGAATGTCCTTATGTATAAGAGTTTATAGTAACCTGTCTTGAAGCATTTGTTGTGGAAGCTAGTAACCTGAGATAGTTTTTCGCACTGTAGGATTAGGATAGGCACTGCGACCATTATAGTAGTTGACACAGTCATCTTAGTACCTGGCATCAGAGGAGGGACTATGCTGCAGGCTTATCATTGGCTCTATCAGTGGTCATAAATATGAACTCTTATTATCTATAGGATAGCAGTATGCATTTTAATGGCTCGGTATTTCAGTTCTACTCTAGTTTGTACTTAGTTTTTGGAAAAGCAGGTACTGTCTGTATTTAAATAAGGGCCATTCAGCCTACTGCTAGCCTCTTCACATATTTTTTCAAATTGTAGTCTAGACGTGGCTCCGTGAGACTCACACAGGTTCGTGAAAAATCTAGCGAGTTAATATTCTGTCATATCTTCAAATATCATTTTTGCAGGCGTCGCACAAATAACTCTCAAGGAAAAAGGCTTGCAGTTCTTGACCAAAACCGAAATGAGACTAAATTGTTCCGAGTAAACTCGACCAAATCCAGAACTAAAAACAAGCGGTTCCAAAAAGAATTATATTAATAAGTGTTGAAGGGCTGAAAGCTTTTCGATCTACTTAACAAAATTTATGAGATGGGCATGGTACAAACTTTCAGATATGAGGTTATCCGGGGTGCAAACACTGAGAGCACGACAGCGGAATTCAAAATAAACTTTCATTCAATTTATATACTCTGCTTTTTACTTTCGGACCTAAATATTCCATACAAATCTTACTTATTTAGGTTATTGATGCTGATCTTCCTCCGTAGCATTCATGTTACTCTAGGGCCTGGCCGTACACCAATCGCAGCACCCTATTTGAATATTTTGTTGCAGTTGGTGTGCATGCAGCGAACCGTAGAAGTCGGTCAAATCACCCGAACTTTTAACGGTCAATTTGCTTGCCTGTGCACGGAGCAGACTGTCAGATTTTTGAACGACAAGTAATCAGCAGCTTTACCTCGCAGTCGTGTGTCTCTGTAGATTCTTCAGATCGTCGTCGATAAAACAGCTTTCAACAGCTATAGCCGTCGTCTTCTCCCTTTGCTAGTTAAGGTGGTGTTAAGGACAAACTGACCACAGGGTTGCGTAGTCCAGACTAAAGATTCAACAGTTGGTGTGGATGGAGCTCAGTTCAAGCGGGATAGATGGCCGCACATCAACTATGAACGTTAATTCCAGTTGAGGCCAGTCTGAGGCAAGTTCGAAGTTGCTTGTCTCCTAGACGCGTTTAGTAATCCTGTTGCTACGGTTAACATTTAAGGTCGGTAATTTACATTTATCATCCAATATTGCGTTTCCAGTTTCTCATACCCCACTTTAAAACGGGTTTCATGTGAGTCGTCTTCAACCGTACGCTTTTATACCACTTTATTTTTCTCTAAATGCAACTGCAGGGATGCTTGGGTATGTATACTGAGCTGTGAATATGCACAGATCAAGTGCTAATATTTTGTCACAACCGCAACGCGCGGAAAAGAAATAAGATGTACGCTCGATATTGGCATTATCCACACTATCTAACATCTCTACAGTGAAGGGCAGCTATTTACGGCAGCCCGAATTTAGTGTTAACCCCTTTCATATTAGTTGAGAGAGGTAACGACTTAATCTCCCTCATTTAGGCACGTAGTTGTGCTACCTAGCATTTTAAGAGTTAAAAGATATTATATTGCCATGTGCCTAGTGCTTCAGAATGATTGGGTCTGCCTAAAACATGTCACAATCCTGCCTAAATATTGGCATCATCAGCATGAAAGACAGCCAGGCAATTCATACGTCATGGCAGGTCATTGAGGAAAATTGAAAAAATAAGGAGTTCTGAAGTAAAGTCAAAATGCGTATGGTTTATTGGACGCGGATGACTTGGATATAAAATTTAATTTATATAGATAGTTCTTCAACTCTGAGAGAAGTTCACCAATATTTTCCTAGCCTATTTTGCAAAGGGGGATTTCATCATAAACAGTGTCAGCTGTTCATGTGCTAAATGGAACATTCATATTCCCAGCATCACTTCGGGATATTCGATGAAAATAGTAGATTTGTCGTACACGTGTGGTGAGAGAAGGCTGCTAGCCAACTGGTTGACATTAATCTACGTCAATGTCTAGGTCACTAATATGGGCAGTGAGGAAATACTAACAAGGCTGTTTCAACAACCAATCACAGATGTTGCCTGGCCCTTGTCTTCTGTTGTTACACACGGCCTAAATCTTCCGAAGGCGTGTTGTGATTATTTGATTGTGTTATTTCCGCCAAGGTCCTGCCTGATATGGTCGTCTAACAGGTTTCTCAATACCTCTGACACAACCGGAAGTAGTGCTATCAGTTCAATGTTCACCGAGTTTTGCTAATCTACAACCTTGCAGACAGGTAAGGGATGGCTCATTTACACTTCTTCGGCGATTTATCCGACTATGTGAGGTGCTTGGAAAGACCATATAAAGGTATGCATGCACTGTTTTAGAACCAGTAGTCAAAAATCATCACAACCTGAGAAATGTCTTTGAGTTTCAGTAGTTTCGTTGTATCCTTCATGGGGCAGTGTGGAATGTACTCATTAGGTTTTCGGCTGCTGATTCAGCAAAGTAACCCTTTTAGCTGACACTATTAAAACTCACAGTACTGTTTAGTTGTCTATAAAAGCCATTTTCATATCAATATTAGCCATTTAGAACAATTAATTTTGCATGCCCCGTGGTCGGTAGGTTTCTGATCTACATAAATCGATATAAGTTCTTAGGGTTTCAAGTGATCTCTTGTGTATCAGTTCGAATTGGCTTTTGAGTGCTGAGTGAAAAGAATAGGGATGAAATTGCAACCTATGAATAGGGCTAATAGGATGGATACTCATGAAGGAAAAGATTGCTTTCTCAAGGTAACTTGCTAGGTCGCTCACTTGGGTTATGATGCTTTGTGCCTAACATTTGACCCTCAATTTTGGCGTTTTTATACCTCTTAAACCCTTATCTCTCAAGTTTATCTCCTCTAAAATTCTATTGTTAAAATTCATCCGTTTGATTATATTCTTTTCGATTTCGTTACCGCCAATTATGAAACACAATGAGTCATTATCGTTACAATGGTTGGATAATTGATAAATTTGAAGGCAAAATAGAATTGCGTAAGTCTTGTCTATTTTTATTGCATATCATTCTTGCTTCACTTGAGTCGTGCATGCTGATTACAGATATTCATCCATGTACTTCCGCATATTCTCATAGTTTACTGAATCTACTTGGCTATAAAACATCTTGAATTTATTTCTATTTCAAAGACCTTAATATAGCAATCAATATTGTTGGTAGTGCCAAATAAACTGTTAGGAGAGGTAGTATTCATATAGTTTTATCACGATGCTTTATTACCTTTACTTTTTGAAAACCATTTTTTGTCGTCTTGATCTCTAAAGGTAACAGATATGACAGGATGGCGATTCGCATATAAACACACTCAGTGAAGTGTTATGTAAGGGTTAGACTTGAATGATAATGCTTTGTCTCACTTAAGTTTCACAGATTAGTGAAATAGCTATTTGAGCAACATAGCATACTGATAAATAAAAACCTTCTGATATTTCTCGGGTGAACTTCTCAATAAGCGTTGTAAAAATGGTGTTAATGGAGAATATGACTAACAAAAATGATTGTAGAGTATCGGCTTACTAGGAGAGCTTGACAGTTGTCCATTAAAACCAGCAATTTAAAAATGGCTGTAGGCGAATTGATATAAAAAAATACAAACCAAGTTTATATAAGACGCTAAATCAAATATACTTGGACTGTTTGATAAGCGTTTTCTCTAAATCATAACTACCGGGTTTCAATTCTGGATACTTTTTAACTTACCCTAACTTTTTAAAATTTAGAATCAGATTTGTTGATTGAGGATCAAAGCCTTTAAGCCCGTATTAATCCTTTTCTAGTAACTTTCTATGCTTGTCTAAACCCTTCTTGAATGAGTCACTTTAGGGCTCTGACACTGTTTTTTCTAGGAGTAGGTTTCAGGAGTTTCTAACTTGATGTGAGAACCAGTACTCCACAGCAATTGGTTTTTTTCTCGGCTTTTGAACTCTCTTACTATGTCCTCTAAGATGTCCCAACCTTATGGAAAGGACAAAAGAGAATAGATAAGGTCCGCGGTCGTTATTTAAAACTTTAAACACTGTAATTAGATCTCCTCTCTGCGTGAGTTATGACAATGAGAAGAGATTTAAACCGTTTAGTCTTTCCCTATATGATAAATTAATCATGCTGAGGATTATACATGTTGTCTTCCTTTGAACCTTTTCTAGAATATGAGAATCCCTTCTAAGATAAGGACTGACTACCTTTTATGTGAAGGTTTATATAAACTTGACTAAAGTTTGTGGTGTTTCATATGGTAGCACTACGTTTTACTTATATCATTATTCAACTGAGAGTGAAATAGCCTCTTTATTACAAGGCAGTATGCCTCACTTTTTAGTTTCAGCAGACAGACAGGCTGTAGAATTTTGAAGAAATTTCCTGCTGAATTTAAAGAACAAATTTCTTCACAGTCGAAAAAGTCAGTACCATTACCCGAGCGACGTGCTAAGATACGTTAAGGTTTTGTGCCTATACAATCTTCACAGAGAAAATAAGACTGATAAAGCAAATGGAATTTCGAACGCCATAATATTTGATATACTGCCGTCACTTTTAGACATCTTTTTGGCCTTCATTCTTTCGTTTTATGTACGAGTTTCAGTGGGGTGTATAATTCTCAAAGCACACACGATAAAGGAAAGTTGAAATTTTTCCGAATAATATTTTGTAATTCCTTAGTGTTAAACACTTTTAAGGCTCCTTTCTGTACTATACATAATGGCAAGAGCTTTTTATGATTTTTTGCCATTATTCCCTTGCGCTGCGAGTGGGCTTCAACAACATACCTCCACCTTGTTCTGACTTCTGCCATCCTCTTCAGCTGGCCTCATCTCCTCCTCACCAACACACGATCTCCTCCATGTCACCCTCGCGCCACCGACGACCAACTCGTCACTCCCCATTTGGATTCCACTCGAGCGACGGCCTGGTGCGTGATGTCATTCGGCGATCTCCTCAATGTATACCCGACCTATCCATCTCCACTTTCTCCTACATATTTGTTGAGCGATCGCCTCCCGCTAGTCGGTTTGTTCCCATAATCTTTTGTTGCTTATTCTTTCTGGCTGGCCAGCCATTCGATCTGCAGTATGGAGCCAGCCAGTGAAGTGGGCAGGTGTTGATGAAAGTCTGCAACTGGCTGTTGGAAATCCTTTTCGTGACACGTATAGAAGCAGTGACTGACTGACTTGACATTGGTTTTGGAAATGTGAATCTTGTTCCTTATGCTGGCTGAGTGACAGGTGGAAGATTCTCAAACTGGTTTCAGGTTGATGAAGGCGTGCGTATATTGATTGCTTTTCCGATTCTGACTGGCTGTTTTTGACATCTTCGTCTAGTCTGTAGTCGAAATGATGCTTCCTGGTTGGATAATTGAAGGCAGGATTTAACTTCTGTTAAATCTCTGGCATTGATGGTGATTGGTGCTGGTTGTTGTTGCCGTTAGTTGATTGGTCAGTTGGTTACCTTCATCACCTCCGTTTTATCTGTGTTCACCTGTGGTCCTGTCTTCGCTTCCTGTTTCTTCAGCCAGTTTTGTTGCTTTGCACCTGCGATTCTTCGAGTTTGTGTGATATTAGACACTTATCATCCATGAAATATGAAACTTCGACTGAAACAGATTAGGACAAGATGGTTTTGAGGGAACATCTGTCTTACTTCACTCCATTCTTACGCCTGTTATATATATATCAGCCTTTGTAATCTATATTGAACTTATCATTTCTCTAGTATTTTATTGCGGTTCCCAATTTGATCTCCTCATTTTTTCATTGCACATGATATCCACCACCTCTTGCTTGAACTTGCATTCAGTGTCCACCCCCCGTTTGTTGGCATTTGTTTGTGTGTTACTTATGGTAGGCATATTTCTCTTGCATCACTGAATATAACTCACCCACCACCCCAAAGGGAAACTTATATTCATTTGACTACAAATCCATTATTATGTCACCCAATTACATAGATTGAGATGGCTAGGTCACGTGCTGCGCATGCCTAACCATCGCCTCCCCCGACGGGCACCACTAGCTGATATAGGTGTAGGTTGGAGAAGAGTAAGTGGTGGCCAAACAAAAACATGGCATCAATCCATGAAATCCTTGACAGTTAAACTGAGTCAGTCAGGTAGGGAGATGCAGACTTCCGAGTTGGGGCCCTCGGGACTGACTCTAGGAATCAATCAGTGGCTGGAGACAATGGGTGACATGGCTCAAAATCGTTGTCAATGGCCAGCGCAGATGTATTCAGTCTCTGTAATCTTTCATATTTCTTTCTACCATTACCCATTCTGTTTCACTCTTATATTTGTCAAATTCTATTGATTCTCTTCACTCATCTTCTTGTCTACCTTTGTGTGCTACTACCTTGTGTGTGTATGTGATTCTTTTTAGGATTTGATTTATTCTTTACTGATGGCTACTGTTAAATTATTTCAGTTGAAGTGTTACCAACGGGTCTAATGTAGTAACTAATTGTGTTAGTTGAAAACACTCTCATTCTACGGAAATAATTCAGGTCTCAATAAGCGGTTGATTAAGTTTTGCAGAAATAACTACCATGGTCTGCTGTAGTCCTTCAGTAGAGTAAGCGCGTTGGACCACTCATTCACTCACACAAAGATTCACTATAGGAATTATAATAGAATAAGTTTGTCGTAAAGATTGAAAAGCATTCATTTAACTTGTCTTGACACAGGAGGCTTTGTATTTATTTTTAGCCAAGAAAGAAACTTCTGGTACTCATGTTTATTTACACTTCTGTTTTATTTTGTCATACGAATAATCGCACTGTGATGCTTTCGAAGGTGTTATTAGTTTGTCTTCTGTTATGTATTAATTAGCATCGGACCATGAGAAGAGAGTTTGTGTGTTAGGGAACAGTTTGGTTGCTAAAATAGAACCATTTATTGTGCACACACCCTCTCTCTCTCTATTGCAGTATTTGTTGTGTAGCCAGTTCTCCATAAGTAACGAATTTTACGGAAGCATTCTTAGATGATGTATTTCTACTTATCGATGCAATTTTGTGGATATCTATTGTTACGAGGACGTTATTCGACAACAAAGCCTCGTCGTCAGATTTTGCTTTCAATCAACGCATCATAAAGTCTTTTCGTGTCTAATGCACTCTTCGCACTGATCTATCTACTTTGAATAGCATTCAATGAAATTCTCTCTATGTGTCGGTGGTACAGCGGTTATGACTCTCGCCGATCATGCACATGGTCCGAGGTTCGATCCCCTGCCGACTCACACCTTATATCTATGGTCGGCCTGCAAAATTTGGGCTACCGATATCGCATGCTGAGAATTCCATACGTGTACCAAAATTATGGTGTAGAATAAAGCTGAAATAAAAAAAAGAATATTTGGAACGTGGCAACTCGAACTGGTGCACTTCGGTGCCAGGTTTTATGTTGAATCCAGACAGACAGATGTCATCCAGTTTTCTTTTCCCATTTTATATTTTCCTCTGAATCATTGCACATTTTATGTTCATTCAACTGACAAAATTAACCATCGTTCCATCTGACACATATACCTCATTAGATATTTCTGACGTAACTTCTGACTGTCTTCATTGACTGGCTATTTGTACTCTAATATTCATGTATTTATAACCATAGAACCTGAAGAAGAGGTTATCGAAATCACAATTGTTCGCTCAAACCACCATCTTGTTCTTATTTCCATTATAGATAAAATTTATTTTTGATAGCATAAAACTCTGTTACGAAGTAGTATTTATTTACTGATGACCACAAGCTTCGAGTAAAATTTATTGCTACTCATAACCATATCAAGTTATTCACATAACTTTATAAATTCTTTTATATATGGTTTCACTATCTTTAATCTCTCCATATGATTGATGGTAATACATTCCACATCTCTGGTATGAGTGATGCGTCATTCCTATTGCAAGTGTGTTGGGTGTAGATTATTCGGTGAACACAGATTCAGTTATCAACCTCTCTATCTCTCTCTCTCCATGT